GTCCTGCCCACAAGAGGTGGCGGCTGGCGTGCCAGGAGCCCAGGGCTGGTGCCCTGGCTGGGCCAAGGAGGGGCAGGACCAGTGCAGTTGCCCTAAGCGGTGACACCATCATCGCCCCTTCCTCAGCTACATGGAGCTCCAGCCATCTCCTAGCCTGGGGCGGCTACAGCCCCCCCTGCTGGGCCGTGAGGCTCACAGCACCTGGCACTCGACTGCCCTTCTCCTCAGCAGATCAAGGAGTAATGGTCTCAAGTTGCAGTGGGGGAGGTCTAGGTTGGACATTAGGAAACACTATTTCACTAGGAGGGTGGTGAAGCCCTGGAATGGGTTCCCTAGGGAGGTGGTAGAATCTCCATCCTTAGAAGTTTTTAAGGTCAGGCTTGACAAAGCCCTGGCTGGGATGATTTAGTTGAGGTTGGTCCTGCTTTGAGCAGGGGGTTGGACTAGATACCTCCTGAGGTCCCTTCCAACCCTGATATTCTATGATTCCCCACTTCGGAGAGGGAAACTGAGGCACTGGGCAGGGCCGGGACTTGGCCAAGGTCACCCCATGGGCAGGCCGCGTCCACACACAAACGCTGTAGGAGTGTAACTGTACCAGGCTAGTTAACACATTACAGCCCCGGTGGGGGTACAATTATAGCCCTGCAACCGGGCTAGAACTATTCCCGGACGAGAAGGGTCGACGGGTCTGACCCTGGTACCAGGCACCTGTATCCTGGTGTCACCGCACACACACTGCTGTTGGTACTGGTATAACTGTATCATCAAAAGCGACCCCACCACCCCACAGTTACATCGGGACAAAAGCTGTGCGTAGGGCAGACTGGAAACTTTGGGGCAGGGACTGGCTCTCGCTGCGTGTGGCTGCAGCCTCTGGCACGACAGGGCCCCGATCTCGGTTGGGATCTCCAGGCGCTGCCTTAGTGCCCTGCAGCTGGAGTTCAGGGGAGCTGGGGCAGGCGGCGTGTCTGGATCGGTCGGAGCAGGAAATGGCGGCCCGGACGGTGGCCGACGTGCTGTCCCCCCGGTGCGGCGTTCCCCAGCTCCCCAGGCCGGGTGGTGCTCTGTGCCCAGCCTTGCCCACGTTGGGATGAAGGTTCTGCCCCTGGGGTCGCGCTGCCAGGCCAGAATCGCTCCTTCCCCTCGACGCGCAGTCTGTCGGCCCCGGTCGTGCTACGGACCCCTGAGCCCTGCTGCACGAGCTCTGCTGGGTCTTCAGCAACTGCAGCCCCCTGGTGAAATCCCCCCCGACTCCTTCCTCCTCGGTGGCTGGGCTCCCAAACAGCATTGGCAAGACAGTTTATTAACCAGCTACCTGGCCCCACGCCCTGTCGCCTGCCTAGGCGCTTATAGAGAGAAGCAGCTGCCTGCGTCCGGAGCTCACTCTGCTCCCAGCTCTGCAGGAACCCAGGAGGGCTCATGCCAGCCCCTCTCTGCACCCCACGGGGCGCCGGTCTCCATGGACCAGCTCTGTCCCCCAGCACGGCTCTTCTCCCCACAGCTCCAGCTGGGCAGGGGGCTGTTAGTACAGCCAGAGCCACCCCCAAGCCTGCTGCTCAAGGGGCTGCCATAGGGACCGGGGAGCTCATGGGGAAGGGGGATCTGGATGGGGATGGGACGCTGCCGTCAGGCGACAGTCTGGGCTTGGAGCCCGGGGCAGCCTGAGCACAGGGGGATCTGCTACCCAGGGGCTCTGGGGGTGTTTGGCTCCGCCCAGCAGCGCCCCCTCCTGGGGGTGGCAGGCCGGCAGTGACGGGCGTGTGTCCCCACAGGACTGAGCGACAGGAAGATGTTGCTGCTGACGCGGGTCGTGTGGCTCTCAGTGCTCTGCGCCGTGGCGCTTGGTGAGTTCGGATCCCCCTGGGCCAGGGGGTGGGGGGCAGGGCTGGGAATCCCTGAAGCAGCTGAGAACGGAGGGAGGGGGGGAAATCAATGATGGAGTCACCCATCAAACCTGCCCCCTGGCCTGGTGCCTTGGGCTGGACCTGCCCCTGCAGAGCTGGAGACGCCCCTCAGCTCCCGTCCAGCCCATCCCTCCACGTGGGAGGATTGGGTCATCCCCTGTCGCCCGTTCCCCAGAGCCCTAGTGTACATCGGCCCAAGGGACGAGGCCCCTGGCCCTGCCCGTGGGGAGACGATCCCAGAGTGTCGCACACGCCCCCGCCCAGGCCGTGTCCCCTGCCAGCCCAGCGCCATCCGAACTGCCCTGGGGCACCCAAGAGCCAGAAAGTGCCAGCTCCCAGCATGCAGAGGGGCAGCGAGCTGAGGCTGTGTGGGGAGGGCAGGGAAATGGGGGCTGGGGAGGGGGGAGCAGGGGCAGAAAGAGGGTGAGGGAGAGCACGGACAGAGGGGTGGGGTGGGGTGGGGGGAGCAGTAACAACACTAGCTGGTTCCCGGCTCCCACCAAGGCCCTGTTAGGAGGATTCGTGCTGGGAATGTCCCTGCAGCCTAGACGTCGCCCCCTGGATCGGAGCAGGGCCCATCTACCCCGGTGTCCCGGCTCCAGCAGCGGCCAGTGCCAGATGCTCCAGAGGGAGGCGCCAGACACCCCCTAGTGGCCCATGATGGAATAACCCAGCCACAGCAGAATTTCCTTTCTGTTCCCCCCAGGTAGTGGCCCCAAGCCCCAGGGCAGGAACCCATCCAGTGCCACCCACTGTGACGCTGGCTGTCCTCGTTCTCTGATCCGTTGCTGGATCCTGCTCTTTGCCCAGTGACAGCCAGTGGCAGGGAGTTCCCCAGGCTGATTGTGCCCAATGAGCCTTTTCTCGGAGTCAGATGTTCTGACCTTCCAGTTTCTGGGGCACTGGACTCCATCCTGTTTGTCCCGTCTCTGAAGGGACCTGGCCGAGGGGTGGCGGGGGGGTCAGCAGTGGGAAACCAGAATCATCAGGGGCCTCCCGGATGCAGAGAGACCAGAAAGGCAGAAAGGCTGCGGAGTGGAGGGGAGGCTGGAGGGATCCAAATGACCGGAGGGGGCAGACGAGACAGACAGGCTCAGAGCCGCACACCCTGGGCAAGAGCTTCCCCAGCCCAGGGTGACTTCGGAGCACCAGCCCCACCCGCCATCTCCAGCCCAGCCCTTGCTTGGCCTCCCTCCAGCCTGGCCTGGCTCCCCGTTCACCCCTTTGCTGCCACCGGCGGGTGGTGCTGCGGGGCAAGTAGGCTCCCGGCCAGGCCTCTCTCCAGCCCCGTCACATTTAATGCAGGGCTGCGCATCCCCCCCTGCGCCGTGCATGGCCTTTGCTGGCCCCCACCCCACCCCCACGGCTCCAGCCCCACTCAGAGCACCAGCTCTGGGCCCGATCCTGCTGTGTGGGCTGGGGCAGGTGGGGGCACCCCCATTAATCCAACCCTTTCTCCCCTCCCCTGCATGGCACAGGCTGCCCCACCATCGTCCCCCGCTCCCAGTGGGAGGCCCAGGTCCCAAGAAGCAGGGACCCGCTGGGGACCCCAGTGCCCTCCGTCATCATCCACCACACGGCAGGGAACCATTGCACCTCACAGGTCTCCTGCAGCCAGCAAGTCAGGGGCATCCAGAGCTACCACATGGACAAGGGCTGGTCTGACATCGGCTACAAGTGAGGGGGCGGGGTGCGACTGGGGCCTCCTTTCAGCAGATAGACAGACTCCAGGCCGCTGCCCCGAGGTAGCCACGGGGGGGCAGCCGAGACCACACTCAGGGGGACAGCTGGGGGAGGGGGATTCTTAGGGTGGCCAGATGTCCCGATTTTATAGGGACAGTCCTGATGTTTGGGACTTTTTCTTATATAGGCACCTATTACCTCCCCCGCCTGTCCCAATTTTTCACACTTGCTGTCTGGTCACCCTAGGGATTCTCCAGAGAAGAGATTTGATTTTTATATTTAATATTTTGGGCGGAAAAGATGGAATTGGGGAGGGTGCGCCCAGAGACCCAGCTGTGCGGGGAGAATGGGACCCTGGCAAGAGGGGAGGGGGGCGGGGGCACAGAGCCCCTAGCAGGGGGAGATTGGGGGGGCAGTGATGGAGCTGGTGTGGGGATGGAGGGCCACAGGGAGCCCCTGGGCTGTGCCAGGAGCTCAGCCGACAGACGCCGCGGGGCCTGCGCCCTCCTCGTCTGTGACATCACCCCGTGCCGGCGTTATTGACACGTTTCCCTGCAGCCGGCCTGACGCCCCGCAACAAAAACCTGGCCAGAGATTTTGCTCCGTGAAATGCTTTGAGATGGTGATGTCAGGAGATGGAAACCCAGCTGGGAATTTCCAGAAGGGCAACGGCTCCCAGCACTGTTCTCCTGCCCCACATCTGGGCCCGCTACAGCCCTCACTCGACCCCCAGCTCTGTCCAGGTGGGGCCCTTGGTGCCTTCCATAAGGGGTGTTACACACAGCGCCACCTAATGGCCAAACAGTGCAATACAGGTTAGGGCCCCTCCATTCCAGTCCTTTTCCTCAGTGGGTCTTTAGCTCCATGGCAGAGGATTGAGCTTCTAGCTCTGATGGTCCCAGGTTCAAACCCAGGCGGGGCCAGCGACGACCCTGGGGGAGCTGCCGAGAGCGATGGGGAGGGGAGGGTGTGGCCGACGTGCCCATGTGGGTCTCACACTGCGCTCTGCCTACAGCTTCCTGATCGGTGAAGACGAGAGTCTACAAGGGCAGAGGCTGGAGCACCATGGGGGCCCATGCCAAGAACTGGAACGATAAGTCACTGGGAATCAGCTTCCTGGGCAGCTTCTCCAGTACCTGATTCTTCGGTCTGTACAGATTTTCCTGCTAGGCCCCTAGGAGAACTAGGAAGTTCACAGCTGCTCTTGGTTCCACCACGGTGGGGCACTGGGCTGGGCACAGGGTCAGGAAAGGGAGGGGAAGGGGAAGCGTGGCAAAGCAAATGTGTGTGTGGAGGCGGGGAGATACATTACCAAATGCAGTGGGGTGGGGGAGAGAGACACTGACATGGCCAATCAAGAACAAGGCTAGAGGGTGTTTATTTACTCAGGCCACATTCACATCCCCTGAGCAGCAGAGAGGGGCCAGGGGCGTGTGTGAAATTAACAGGGGGCTGCTGGTTGTTAGGATATAGATATTCAGGCCTGCCTGTAAAGGCCTGTACTTTAAGAATTTAGGTGTATTCTTATCACTTGGCTAGTTAGAGGTATGAAAGAAAGAATCAAAATCACTGTCTGCCAATGTAAGGTCCTTCTCTTACTGTGACAGTCTGGGGCCCTGTTCTTAGGCTCAGGCCTTTGGCTAAGCAGCAGAGGCAGCCATAAGCTGGGAAGCGAACGGTCACATCCTCACATTCCAAACTAGTCACATTGAAATAAGGTGCTATTGGGCTGTTAGGCACTATCAGGACAGGATTGTATTCCTATCACCTCCAGAGAAAGGGAAGTGCCTAGAAAATGTAAAAGAAAACTTAGTTTGATAGCATCCTGTCTGGCAAGAACTCACTTATCAATACTGGGATGTGAAATCCTCACTTCTGTATTGTCTTGCCATTATAGTTCCCACTTTGCTATTGTTTGTCTGTATAATCTCTGTCTGGTTCTGTGATTGTTCCTGTCTGCTGTATAATTAATTTTGCTGGATGTAAACTAATTAAGGTGGTGGGATATAATTGGTTACATAATCATGTTACAATATGTTAGGATTGGTTAGTTAAATTTTAGTAGAATGATTGGTTAAGGTATAGCTAAGAATATTACTATATAAATTAGGGGCAAACAGGAAGTAAGTTGGGATTCGGAAATAAGGAAAAGGAACTTGTATTTAAGCTTGCTGGAAGTTCACCCCAATAAACATCGAATTGTTTGCACCTTCGGACTTCGGGTATTGTTGCTCTCTGTTCATGTGAGAAGGACCAGGGAAGTGGGAGAGTGAAGGAATAAGCTCTCTAACACTGGTGTCCTGCAGAAACAGCCCCTGACAACACCACCCTGACCGCTGCCAAGAGCCTGATCCAATGTCCTGTCTCCGGGGGCTTCCTGAGCGAAAGCTACACCCTGAAGGGGCATCTAGACGTGAAGTCAACCGAATGCCCCGGGGACGCCCTCTACGACGCCATAAGCCAGTGGCCTGAGTTTGAAGCCTGAGTCCCTGCAGCCTCGAGGCAGCCCCTGCGCCCATCGCTGACCCCGCCCGCGGCTTCTGCCTGCTCAAGCAGCACCTCTGCCCCCCAGCAGGGGGCAGCCTCCCGCTTCTCGCCCACCTGCTGCCTCCTGGGGCCCGGAGAGCACGGCTCTGAGAGTTGGGGTTACGCTCCCGTCTCCCCTGGGCTCTGCTGCCCTCCCACGGGGCTCAGATTTCTAATAGCACCTAGGAGCCACCTGCCTCCCCCAGACTGCTTCCTTCGGCAGACGCCAGGCCGAGCCCCTCGCTCCCGCCCGCAACGGGCATGTCAGCTTAGCCCGGGTCCACACACAGCCAGGCCCAGGGTCTTACAGCATCCAGGGGGGTGGGGCCAAGCCTCAGCTGAGCTCTGTGGCAACGGCCCTGCCAATCCCTGGGCAGCTCAGGAAACATCGCCTCCATTCCCGTGTGAAACGACCGAGCAATTCTCAATCCCAGAGTCAAATCCGCCTCTGCCCCCAGCCCCCCAAGCTCTGCAGTGAAGATTTCATCTGGAATCCCCCAGAAACCGGTCGCTAGTTAACCCCCCACAAAGGGAACCCAAGTGTCCCCGAGCCCTGACACTCGGCTCTGCCTGGCCCCCGCAGGGTCTGGCTCTCAAAGCTTTCAGCCCTCGCCCCTTTCGCCCCGACAGTCCGTTCCCACGAGCCTCTCTCACCGAGGGGGGCAAAGTGTTTGGACGGGGAAGGACCCGTCGGGTGGGTCGTAGAGCCCCACAAAGGGGTTTTTAGTTCAAGTGCAATTTGCCTTTACCTCAGCGCCCCGCGGCTTAGCGCTTGCTTTGCTTGGGAGCTACTGAGCAGTGACAATAAACCAGCTTCTAGCACATGAAAAGTTGAAGTGCCGGGAATCATTTCATCTCCTGTTAAACCATCACCACCCTGCCGCTGGGCTGGGCTGGGCGAGCTGAGAGGGTGTGATTATGGTCTGTCAGATTAGCACTAAGAGGCCCCCTTGGGCTAGGTGCTATACACACAGAACATGAGACAGACAGTCCCTGCCCTAAAGAGCTCACAGTCTAATTAGACAAAGGATGGGAGGGGAAACTGAGGCACAGGGAGGGGAAAAGGGTTTTACCCAAACTCACAGGGCCAGTTAGTGGCAGAGCGTGGAACAGATCCCATGGGTGCAGTCAAGTGCTCTGCCCACTAGGCTGTGCTGCCTCTCAATCCAGAGGGAGGAGGTGGAGAGAAACCAAGGGGGCACTGGTTCCGCATGGGTCACACACAGTCAGGCCGGCAGCCCTAAGCTGAAGGAAGGGGAGGGGAGCTGGGGTTTGCGCCTGCTGATGGGAGCTGGGGCTGCGGCTGGAGACTGGCAGGACGGGCTGGAGCGGAGGGAACAGCCATGCCAGGAGCAGTGTCCCAGCCCCACAGTGCCCAGGGCTGCCCAGCATGTGGGAAGGGGGCAGCAGCACTGAGGGGGCAGCTCTTTGTTACGAGAGTCGCTGTGGAGCAGCCCCTGAGCGAGGCTGGGAGCCCGGCACCCCAGGACTGGATGGGTCCCGTAAACAGGAGCAACCCCTGGTGGGCTGGCAGCTGGAGGCCGCGCTGCAGAGAGTGCAGGTCTGCCCCCCACCCCTCCGCAGCCCCCGGTGTCCTGCCCCTGGCACAGTCCAGGTTCAGCCCAGTTATTCCGGCTTCTGAGCCGTGGACCCCGGGGGACGCGACCAGCTGGGATCCAGGCCCCGCACTAGGAAGAGGCTATTCCAGGCCCTGGCGGCTGGAGCTCTGGAGGGCGTGTAAAGCCCAGGAAGGCCCAACCTCAAGGGGCTCAAGCAAGAGGTTTCACTCCTGGGCTGGCCACAGCCCCAGAACAGACTCAGCACAATCTCTCTTCCCATCCTCCCAGCATTGTAACACCTCCTCAAGCCCCTGCGGGGCTGCCACAGCCTGGGCCCCCCAAGCCACCTTGCCTGGTCCCTAGGGTGTTTTGGCCGCTGGCCCCATGGAGCTCAGCCTAGGAGGGGCAAAGGATCCTGCGAGGCCCAGGGAGGGGTTGGTCCCCTCACCAGGAGAGGCTCTGGGCAGTCACAGCCACAGGTACTCAGCCAGGAAGGCAGCCAGGATCTTGCAGAGGTTCTCCACGGTCGGGGGGTGCAGGTTCTGCTCCGTGTCCTCCATTGTGTGCCAGACCCACGGGAAGGGGGTGGCGATGAGGTGCAGCACCGGCACTCCTGTGGCCGGACAGATACATGGGTAGTCAGCAGGGATCCAACCCAGGCTCTGCATCACTGCAAGCACCAGCCTCTACTGCTGGAGCTACAGGAGTAATTCCACTATTGTCAGCAGTAGTAGACTATTATCCCTGTGTGGCCTAGCCACTAGCGGGCGACGTGCGACATTCTAAATGCGCACACTGTCTCAGTAGATGGAGCCAGGCCCTCAGGCACGACCTGACCTTACATCTAGGAGCCATGTGCTCCCCTGACCTAGCAACAAGCAGCTGGCCAGGTGCATTATGGGAACCAGATTGGCCAGAGACATCAAGCGAGTCAGGGCCAAGTGGCTAGATAGCAATGATATGTTTATAAAGTCTTTCACCCCCAAGGATCCCAGAGCCTAAGTTCAAAATGCAGCCACCTCTGGGGTGAAGCGTGCCAGGCAGGCAAACATCATCTATAAAGCATTTTACCCCTGTAAATAACACCTAGCTCTTGCATAGCCCTTGTCCTCAGGGGATCCCAAAGCACTTTACAAAGGGGGTCAGAATGATTCCCCCCACTTCACAGATGGGGAAACTGAGGAAGACAGCAGCAGAGTCAGCCGGCAGGGCAGTGGCAAAGCCAGGACCTGAACCCAGGTCTCAGTCCCTTGCTCCACTCATGAGGCCAGGCTTGTGTGGGAGCCTGGGGGAGTCTCACCATGTTTTGTCTGCACACATTCTGCCCTGGCTCCTCTGGGGAGGCCCCCCAGCTGTCCATCCCACAGTGCTCTGCGCCTGGACGCCCGGTAGCAAGGGGCAGGACAGGTACCTTTGCGAAGGAAGGGGACGTGGTCATCTTCGACAGGGCCATAGGCAGGCTCCCGCTGGAAGTACATCTGCTCCTGGGGGTGAGACTGCAGCAGGCCCAGCCGGTGCAGACGCTTCTCTGGGCGACACAGAGCAGAGGGTGAGGAGTGAGCTGGTTCCTGGGACCTGCCCGGCTGGGGGCGCGGCAGGACGAGCCCAACAGGGGGCCACACCTGGCCACTCACAACAGAGCTCCCTGAGGACACGGAGACGCTGCTGTCTCCGGGAGCAGGAGAAAACGCCAGGGAGGGAGGGAGGGGGGATTTCAAACCTGACAAGTCGTGTTTGAGAGAAATAAAGTGTTGGTGAAAGATGCCAGGTCAACAGCCCCAGGGACTGAATCCCCAACTCCCAGCTCTTTCCCACAGCTGGGGATAGAACCCAGAAGTCCTGGCTCCCAGCCCCCCTGCTCTAACCACTAGACCCCACTCCCTTCCCAGAGCTGGGAAGGGAACCCAGGAGTCCTGGCTCACAGCCCCCCTGCTCTAACCACTAGACCCCACTCCCCTCCCAGAGCTGGGGCTAGAACCCAGGCACCTTTATTCATTGTCAGACAGACGCAGGACCATCAGGACTGGCGGGCGGGGGAGGAGGTAGCTATCCCACTACAGATGCCTGGGGGGGCAAGCCCCCTCCCACCCCTGGAAGAAAGGAAGGTTTGGTACCGATGCCGACGAGCCGGTCGAACCAGGAGGCAGTGAGGGGGAAGTGGTTCTGGATGGTCGGGTGGCGGGCCCCCAGCAGGTCCAGCAAGACAAACAGGCTCTGCAAGGAGGCAACGAGGGGTTAAATCTGTAGGGGCCCAGTCACCCCAGGAGGATCTGAGGTAGGGATTGGTACAAGATCCAGTGCAGACAGATTGAGCCCCCCGCCTACCCCGGACAGGCACCCTCACCATCTCCCTCCAGCCTGAAAGATCCCCCAGGCAGAACTCCCCAGAGGGGCAGGCGGGCGGCTCTCACCATAGCCTGGAGCTGGCTGGTGCCCGGCTGGTGCTGAGCCTTGGCCATGTGCTCAGCCAGGTGGCGCGCCCCGTACAGGGAATCCCTCTCACTCCACTCCCCGAAGGCCTCCTCGCCGTCCAGGAACAACAGCTGCAGTGTCACCTCGGAGCCCTGGGGAGAGACACGGGGCTCGCTCAACACCTGGCGCTGCTGGACAGGTGAGGGGACTGCACCCAGGACAGCAGCAGAGCTAGGGATAGAACCCAGGAGTCCTGGCTCCCAGCTCCCCTGCTCTAACCACTAGACCCCATTCCCCTCCCAGAGCCAGAGATAGAAGCCAGGAGTCCTGGCTCCCATCCCCCCCGGTTTTACACACTAGACTCCATTCCTTTCCCCAAGCCAAGAGTAGAACCCCCAACCTGGGAAGCTCTCACCTGCTTCTTGGTCTTCAGCAGCTCCGCGTCCAAGGCCGTGGCCAGTTCCAGCAGGATGGCACAGGGCATGGCCGAGTCGGTGGCCCCCAGGAAGGTGCGGCCCTGCCGGTCGCGGGGGAAGTACTTGGAGTCATAGTGGCAGGCCAGAACCAAGCGCCGCCCGGCAGCGGGGTCCAACGTGGCCACCACATTGGCAAAGCCTACGACACCCCGCGGTGTCCGGTCCTCGAAGGTATCCAGCTCTACCCGCCAGCCCGCAGTCAGCGTGGCCAGGCTATCCACAACGAACTGGGACAAGACAGAGAAGGCTTCAGGGTGCCGTCTGGGGGGAGCATCAGGGGGCAGCGGTTTTGGGGATATCAGCAGGGAGGCCAGGGGGCTGCGGGGGGGTGGGAACTGTCTCACCCTTCTAAGGCAAGGGGCAGGGTCGGAGAGATGCTCACCATCTCCAAAGGGATCTGCCCAGTGCAATGGGGCTAGGTCAGGTTCAACAACACTCCCGCCTCGAAAAAATGTTTTGACTGTGCAAATGAAACGTTTCAATCGCTTCAAACAGTCCCGTTTTCTGGGTCAAAACAACAACGTTTTGTTCTGAAATTTCAGCTAAACAGACTGAAAAAAGGTCAAAACTGAAATTAAACATGGCAAACTGAGCAAAACGAACCGTTTCCATTGAGCCGAAATGGCAAAGAAAAGGTCTTGGGGTATTGCCAATATCTGAAATTTTTGTCCTGATTTGAGACAGGAAAATATTTGGAACTTGCAAAAATATTTGCAGAAGGGGAAAACCAATTCTCAAGGGCTTGAACCCCCGCACGCTGGGTCTGCAATGGACATGTCTCTGGCACAGACGCTTCCAAAATGCACTGAGCTTTCGGCACCCACTTCAAACCGGGTGTAGCTTCCCCAAGAGGTCCTGCAGACCCAACCCCACAGATCTCCCGCATCCCTAGTTCAGGCCAGGGCTACTCCACAAACCCAGCACAGCTTTGTTGTTTGGGGTGTGGAAAGAAAAAACACAGCCCCTAGCTGCCATAGCTACACTGGCAAAAAACCCCGTGTAGATGCAGCTGTCCATGGAAGAGCACTTCTGCTGGCACAGTGCCGTTCAGGGAAATCGTTCCTACACGGGCAAAACTCTTCTGTCAGTGTCCATTGGGTCTACACTAGGGGCGCTGCTGGGACAGCTATATCAGCACAGCGATATCCATAGGGCTTGTGTAGTGTAGACAAGGCCGCAGACTAACCCTGCCCCCATTGCAGCCAGGGCCGTATCCGTGCGGATACCGAGTTAGCTGGTCTCTTGCGCCCACTTCGCACCAAAGGCAGTGACTGCCCAGGGTCCCCGGTGCAGGGAGGCAAAGCCGCCGTTTGCACCGGAGCCTGAAACCAGACAAAGCTGCCCCAGAGCAATTCCTGGCCTTGAGCCACTGGCTGCAGCTGGGGCAAACCTCTTGGGTTTTCAGGGCCCAAGCTAACTCTGGGGTCCCATGTTCCAGGGTGTCCTCTGAGCCCAGGATGTGCCCCAACCTCCGGCACAGCACAAGGACCGCACACCCCAAGGCTTCGCCCGGCCACAGCCCCCACTCACCTGCCGCACCTTCCTGTTCCCCGGGCTGCCCGGGTACCGCTCGATCAGCATGGGCTTCAGGAAGGAGTTCCAGAGGCGCCGGAGGTCCACCAGGGAGGCCAGCCGCTTCACCTGGCTACTGGAGAGGCTCCGGGGCTTGTGGCCAAGCTACGGAAAGGAACAGCGCTGGAATCCAATGGACCGTTCAAAACACCCCCGGCACCAGCAACGGACCCAGGGCATCCAAGCGAGAGCAGAGGGGTCCTGCGGTCCGGGTCTTGAGCCAGCGGTTGTCTCCTTCCTCATGTTCTTACAGCACCCAGCACAATGGGGCCCTGCTCCGTGACTAAGGCTCCCCGGGCATCCTGTCCCCAATACAGGCAGTGGATGCGAACGGGGGGGTGCCCTCCCGCTGCGTCCCCCTGTGCTGCACGACCCCGCTAGGGTGACGGAGAACAGAGCACAAGAGCCAGTGAGAATTCAAGGGCCTCTTCCTGCCCCCACTAGTGTCAGTGGAGGGAGGGGTTGGGGGTAGATGCCAGCGCTGGTGTTCCTACTGCCTCTCCCAGGGCTCTGGGCACCCAGGGCCTCCCCCCAGCCCGCCAGCCCCAGACGAGCATCCTCCTGGACTCAGCGACACTGCACCCCATCTTAGCTCTACACGGCCGTACCGTCGCCCAGCCCCCCCTGCCCATTCCATGCCTCAGTGCGACACCCCCCTCACCCCCGGACACCCTGCCCCCACACCCCCTCCCTCCCAGGCCCCCTGCCCCTTCCATGCCTCACTGCAACCCCCATTACCCGGCACCCTGCCCCCACGCCCCTCCCCCCAGGCACCCTGCCCCCACGCCCCTCCCCCCAGGCGCCCCCCATCCCTCCCAGGCACCCTGCCCCCACGCCCCTCCCCCCAGGCACCCCCCATCCCTCCCAGGCACCCTGCCCCCACGCCCCTCCCCCCAGGCACCCCCCATCCCTCCCAGGCACCCTGCCCCCACGCCCCTCCCCCCCAGGCACCCCCCCATCCCTCCCAGGCACCCTGCCCCCCACGCCCCCCCCCCCAGGCGCCCCCCATCCCTCCCAGGCACCCTGCCCCCACGCCCCTCCCCCCAGGCACTCTCCATCCCTCCCAGGCACCCTGCCCCCACGCCCATCATACTCCCTACCCCAACTCCCCTGCCCCCCCATGCTCCCTACCCCAACTTTCCTGCCCCTCCCTGGGCACCCTGCCCCCCATGCTCCCTACTCCCGCGCCCCAGACACCCTGCGCACCTGCCCCCACGCCCCGCGTCCGCACCCCCTGCCCCGCGCCCCTCACCTGCGCGCTGGGCGGGCCCCGCGGCTGCCCCCCGCCGGCCCCGGACCCCCAGCCCAGGTACAGGCCGGCGCCGGCCGCCAGCAGCAGCAGAAGGAGGAGGAGGAGCAGGCGCGGGGGGGCGCGGCGCGGGCGGGCGCTGGGCTCCGGGCCGCCCCCTCCCCGGCCGCGCCGGGCCCCGGCACCCGGCCCTTTCCGCATGGCGCCGCCGGCCGAGAGACAGCGAGCCCCGCCCACGGGGAGGGGCACGACCAGGCCCCGCCCACGGGGGAAGGACCTGAGGGGAGCGCACGGCCAGAGGGGCGGGGCGAACTGAAGCCACGCCCCCCACGCGGCGCGTCCCAGATAGAGTCCCCGGCCGCTTGAGGGCGGGGCGATCTGCAAGACCCACCCACAGGAGGCGGAGCCACGGCGTTGTTACGGCCTGCTGGGGTGGGGACACGCCCTTAGGGGTGGGGTTACCACAGGACACACCCACAATGGGGCGGGGCCGGCTAAGGACACCTCATCACATAACGGCATATTGAAAAGGGCAACCCCTCCTCCCCCATGCACCCCTGGGTCCAACACCCCCCCAGCACAGCCCAGGGTCTGACCAGCCCCAGCCCTAACACATCTATGGGTCTGACCCCCACCTGGGCACCTGGGTCCTAACCCCCCCCCCACCATACCCTTTGGTCCGACCCGCCATTCCCCTAACACTCCCCTGGGTCCTACTCCCTCACTGCACCCCCTGCCCTGGCTCAGACCTCCCTTCCCATAAACCACCTCTGGATCTGACACCCCCCCCCCCAACACACCTATGGGTCTGACTCCCCTTCCCCTAACAAAACCATGTGCACAACCCCTCCCAACACACCCTTGGGTACAACCCCCCCCCCCACACACACACTGAACCCATGAGTCTGACCCCCCTTCCCCTATTACACCCACTGGTACAACCCTGCCGTGCACCCATGTGTCCAACCCCCTTTCCTGTAACACACCCCTAGGTCTGACTCCCCCGCACCCATGGGTCTGACCATCTCCAGCACACCCCTGGATCCAGTGCCTCATTCCTCTAATACACCCATGGGTCCAACCTACCCCATACACCCAAGGTCTGACACCTCCCCCCCCACCATGCAGCTGACTCCTCCCAACACATTCCTGGGTCTGACCCCCTCCCTACACCCAAGGGTCCAACTCCCCCCCAACGCACCCATGGATCTGAATCTCCCCTCTCCAGTGCACCCAAGGGTTCGACCCCTCCCCGCACTGGGCCCCAATGACATGGGGATGGGTGCACATGGATGACAGGTCCATATGGAGAGAGCAAGCACATGGAAGGACAGACCGACTATTGCAGCTGGGCCTGGAAAGCCGGGGGCAGGGGAGCGTACAGGGATCAGTGGGTGACTAGATAGAGGGTGCCCCTGCCCCCTGTGTCCCTCAATATACCAGCGAGGAAAACAGTGCTTAGAGCCCATCTGGCAGCAGCTGGAGTGACATCCCCCCGCACCCCTTGCAGCTGGCACAGGGCCCATCTGCAGCACTGATGTCACTGGGTCAATAGTGCTCACGTTCTAACCTGATGGGTCCTGCCGAGGGTGGTCTCTGCATTTGACCTTTTTCCTGGGCTGTATAATAGGGTTTAACACAGGATTTGCCCCTCACTTACATGGCCAAGAGCACAGTGTGTGAGGTTGTGTGACACACAGGGTGTTGCCAAGTGGCCAATGCTTGTGGTTTCATCACAGTTCCCCTGGTATTTGGTGTGTCTCATAAAGCACCAGCTCCCAGAGTCATGGGATGGAGTGAGATACTCGGCTTCCATTGAAATGTAAGTTTCTAGCCCTAAAGGCTGACAACTCCCTGACACAGTGAAATGTCCCAAGCAGACCGGCTCATGGATCCAAAAGTGCCAGAGAACAAGGGGAGGGGGCAAGTGGAAAGGAAGGCTGGATATCCTGGAGCTCTCCGGGCCCATGGGCAGGCTGTCCCTGGCTAAGGCCTTAGTACCGCACAGCTTGGTTCTGAAGCGGAGGAGCATGTCCCTTGGATAACCAGATGTGGTACGGTTCGGTTTACACTGCAGACCAGAACCGTGCTGCAGCCAACCCAAGTGCAACCAGCTGCCTCCTTGAAATCGTTATTTATTATACAGATTATTGTAGTGCCTTAGAGCGCCAGTCCCAGGCTATGACCCCTTGCGCTAGGCGCTGTACAAACACAAACAGTCCCTGCCCCAAAGAGCTGGCGATCTCCAGATAAGACACGAGCTGACAGGTGGATTCAGTCCTTGCTGGGCAGCACGACAGTCCATATGCTTGGAGCCTTTCTGGCTGCAGCGGCATCTCCCAAAGGGAGCCCTGGTGCTGCTGGGCGATTTAAACCCAGGCTGGACGCTGGGGAATGGATTCTCCCCTCCCGTAGGCTCTGGGTCCCCGCACTCGGCCCCGCAGCAGTGTCGCCCATCAGCTGGCAGCAAGCAGGGTTCCCTCAGCTTCATGCGTATTAGGGGCAGCTCCTCAGATGTGCTCAGGGACTGACTCCCGCTTCGGCCCTACACGCTGCCCTTTCGTTTCTCCTTCTTACGCCCACTGTGCCACCCAGGGCCACAGGGTGGGGGAATCAACAGCTGCCGCTGTCCACAGCAGCAGCTCCCCCCACACGCACGGTGGGAGGAAAGCGAACAGGGCAGTCAGGATGGGGCAGAGGAGGAATAATGGAGCGGGGAGAGGCTGGGGCTGGGGGGAAACAGGGATGCGTGGGTGAGACAAACTCATCCCACCCAATTTCCAGCTTCTGGCCCTTTGGGCTGGAATCAAACCAGAAGAGAGGCAAGGTCTCCTGGCCTCTGACCCTGCAGGATCCATCACGCCCTTTGGAGGCCTTGGCTCTGGCTTGGAGCCATCTGTCATGGAGCCCCAGGGGTTGGGGCTACACCCCAGCTTTGGAACAGCCTCTCGGAGGAACCTGTCAGTGGGCCAGGCTCCCCAGAGGTCTCACTCATCCTCCAGGGCCATCCATGTGGCCTCCCCACCTCTGAGACTGAACCCCCGGGCTTCAGCCCTCCGGCCGCACCCCACAAGCTCTGCCTAGCCAGACCAGCCAGGCTCCTGGGAGAGTCCTGTCCCCTCTGGGACTGACACCCCGGCAGCACTTGCAGGGATGCTTGGCAGCATTGGCAGACCAGTCGGGTTTATTGGTCCCTGGAGCCCAGCACGGGATGGCACCAGGTTAGCGCCGAGACATGGAGGTTAAAACATCGTCCAGCCTCTTCAGCCCAGGGCCAGCCAAGCTGGAGTGACCCCCCCACGGCCAGGCTCTGTGTCTCTCCCCATCTGACCTCCTTGGTAAGTTCCCAGGTGTCCCTTAGCCTGCCCCAAGGCAAACAATCCCTGTCCCCTCAACTAGGTAACCATGCACATGCTAGGGGAAACTGAGGCATGCATAGGCTTCATACCAATATTACAGGAAACCCCCACTTTGTCACACCATCACTACCCCCCACGCCCGGATGTTGGGAGGATGAGCACGCCGCCCCCTGGTGCCAGTTTTGTATTCCCACTGCCGCCTCTCTCTACTTACGTGGCTGGCGTTTAAATGTCCCTAAGCCACACTGGCTTTGGAGAGGATAGCAGCTTCCACCTGCCCTGCTGATACACAGCAATCAGCAAATGCTCTGGCTTCCCCGGACTCATCCCGCGCAAGGATCATGAGTCCAGGGAGATTTGGCCACGCACAGCCACACCTCCAAGTCCTGTGTCACTGCATTCTTGTGCTCAACAACTTCAGAGCAGCCAGACTGGGTCAGGACAAAGGGCCAGTTGGCCCAGTATCCTGCGTCTGCCAGTGGCCAGTGCCAGATGCTTCAGAGGGAATGAACAGAATAGGGCCATTATCGAGTGATCCACCCCTGTCGTCCAGTCCCAGAGGTTATGGGATGCCCAGAGCATGGGGCTGTGTCCGTGACCATCTTGGCTAATAGCCACTGATGGACCTGTCCTCCAGGAGCTTATCTCATTCTTTTTTGAACCCTGTTGTACTTTTGGCCTTCCCCTGGCAGTGAGTTCCACAGATTGGCTGTCCATTGGGTGGAGAAGTACATCCTTGGGTTTGTTTTAAATGTCCTCCAGTTAATGCCTGTTAATGTCCTCCAGTGACCCCTGATTCTTGTGGTAAGTGAAGGGGTAAATAACACTTCCTTATTCATGTTCTCCACCCCAGTCATGATTTTATAGACGTCCGTCATATCCCCCCTTAGTCGTCTCTTTTCCAAGCTGAATAGTTCCCGTCTTTCTAACCTCCCCTCGTCTGGAAACTCTTCCATCCTCCTTCTCATTTTGTTGTCCTCCTCTGTACCCAGGTGTGGGAAAGCTCAATCCCTGCATGCCCAGCATGGGACACCACTAGGGGAGCCCTAGTTACCTCTTCTCCCACCGCACACCCTGGGCCTACACGCAAGAGCCTCTTCTCTTCGGCAAAACGGTGGGGTTGGAAAGTGTGATCTCTCCATGCAAGGGAGCTAAGATGCACCTCAGAGGTGGCTGCCTTTCAGTGGCTGGCAATGTGAATTGTGTGTTGGCTGCTAATGCTCCATCTCAAAGCACTTTTAGCCAAACAATACTGACCAGTGGGTACAGATGACACCTGCATGTTTAGGGATTGCTCCCCCACCCACTGATATGCAGCCACCTCTATGGGATGGCACATCTCTATGTGAGATGAACCAGCTGTTTATATGGACATCCTTCATCCAGCACTGAAATGCAGCCACCTCTGGAGTGGAACACAGCAGCTGTTTATACAGGGCACAGCAATGCTACATTGCAGTTCAGGACACATCTACAATTCGCCATTCTCTTCCCAAAGTCTGAGGCGCTTCTCTCCTCCCAGATATTGAGGCTCATACCAAGACTTCCCTTGAGGCAGTGGGAGAAGTTTTTTCGAGTCATCTGGAGACGACAAGGTGCAGGTTATGTTTGTGGCTTGGGTGTGTGGGGAACAGGCACGGCATTATACAAAGCAGAAGAGCCCTGAGGGCTGATTGAAACAATTCTGCTGCTCCCAAGAAAAGCCCCTAAATCCCCTTGGCCTTTATCGCCCCAGAAAAGCCTAAAATCAGCCCATGTAGGAAAGAAAAAACCAAGGTGAAGGGCAGGCTGGCTCTGACGTGCCTAGAGGGAATGGCAGATCTATGGGCCCAGCTGCTGTGGAAGGCTAATTGCCAC